TTCAATACCGTGCTGAATGCCGAAGAGCCAGGATTGATTCCTGAGGCTCGCCCTTAGAGGCCAGGAGCCAGCCACTTTCTGCAGCGTGATATTTTTGCAACTACGGATGACTTCCGTAAACCCCAATAATAGCCCTGTGAACAGGGAGTCTACCTAAGGATGCATGCAAAGATTCAGTATGGTTCACTCTGAAGCAGACAGGGCTTTTCAGGATCACTAGATATTAAGCCACTGAGAGGGGTATACGATACTGTCAGTTTTACTGCGCTGGCCAGCTACAGCCTATAGCTGTAAAGGAATCTGATAATGATTATTTCATCCGTTGAGGAATGATCTATCATGTACTATTGGAATAGTCTATGAAAGGGCCACTGGACTAAGGACGAGAGCGTAACATCTTCACCTCATATCAAGGATCGTTACGAAGACTCGGATCCCTATGGGGTCAATTCGATTAGTTATTTCGTACCCTTGGTGTGCTGTATCTCAATGATGATTTTGATAAGGTGCATCTGCCGATCGGCTGTAGCTAATAGGGGCGAACTGGAGGTCGCCGAAAGGATTGGACTTCTTCAGGCAAATCAGATAATCATCTCCATATCAAGCGATCTCAAGCAACGGATATGCATATCCTTCGTGGAGGTTTGAAGTCTTAAAGTTCTATCTACCAGTCAGTGTCAGTTGCACGAGGGACAAATCCATGTTTTCCAACCGGCAGATCGTCATGATTGACAATGCCTCGCAGCTGACAGGGCGTTATGGACGCCAGTCTGGATTTCAGACTACTCAGACTCCAAGCGTCAAGTGGATTTTGACATACTAAAAGCCCTCATAAGCCTTTAAGAGTTCACAACAGATTCCAAAGTCCAAAATCTCAGACCCGAAGCACCACATCCAAATCTTCAGAGTTCTCACAGAAGCCCGAACGGGAAACACTTTCTAAATGATCCCCGAAGATGTGATGGGGTCAGTGCCAAGGTAGCTAGAACTGATGGAAGATGACTGTGCGTTCTATCTGGTGTTCTTTTGCGATTTTGGGCGTAGTGTACCATTATTCAGGTCAGGGAACTACACACAAAGGGCCAAATTGTGACTCATCCCGCCTGCTGTCTGAGCCAAAATATTGCTAACCACAAGTAGAAAGAGCTTATTCCTGAATCGAGTGGGCAAAGGCAAACCTTCTGCGATACACAAAAGGACCTTGCGGAGGCAGAGCAGGAGCTAGGTTGAAGGCAAAGCTGTTTTCATACTCTTGTTATGAACTATTGATTCTGATGACTAGTTAAGCAAAAGATGTGCCTTGGCAAAAATAAGAACATGAAGAATTAATTAATCTGCGGATTAATCAAAATCTAATAGGCTACGCAGTAGTAGTCGGAACCAACCTGCCTGAACCATGAAGATCACCACACATGGTTTAGCGTTGGTCTAAGATAAAGACAGTGCTAGCAGGTATCAGAGACCCCACTCTCAAAATTTAAATTTGCAATTTGCAAATATCTTATTTTTATTTTGTGATTTGGTTTTCACTGACGGTAGGCAGGGGTGGTATGCAGCCACTGCAGCCAAGCTCCCCCAGAGACGGCAGATAGTCGATAGCCGAGCTTGGCATTTAAATTACAAACCAATGAGATTGAGAACACCACAGGAGCTGACGCGTGCACATCTTGGTGCTTTCCTTATTTTGGCATGCCAGCTCAATCGGGAATGAGGACCTGAATACCTTACCTTACCTTAGCTTACGAGATGTCAGCATGGAGCTCGTATGTATTGTTCCCTGATTGCTCAGTACTGTACCGCTAGAGACGGATTCATTTCTCTTCCAAGTGTCGTTGAAATACCTTGTAGAGTGTCAAAATGGATACACCTCGAAAAAGTTGCTAAATCCTGAAGAAGTAGCTAGCTAAATAGTGGAGAGAGGTTCAACTGCAGAATGTTTTGATCACAGTGCATCAAATTCGAATCACGGCCACCATTTGTTGGATTAGAACCCCGCAAAGCCCGTTTGCCTTACCTAAAACCCTGCGTGCGATCCTGGCTGACCCCACTTTCACTACTACTTTGAGGATATTGCGCCTAGCTGCATTCTGAAACACGCCGGCTGATTTCTTGGCCTGTCGCGACTTGAGGTTGAGGATGACTTAGGACGGAAGAGGCTTAGTTCCAAAGCCTTAGTTCAAAACTTCAGACGGGCTCTAGTTTTGGCATCAATTTCGGTCTTATTCTTCCGCCCACTGGGCATCAACAGACTGGTCGATTTTGAGTTCAGACTTGGGGCCTTTCGAAATGGGGATTACTGTTGCAGTTAGCATTGCGAGGCCGCTAATACTAGGGAAAGAGATTACCCGTCGCCATGTCTACTTAGCCATAGCTGTCATGGGGTTCCCTTCGGATGGAAACTTGGGAACTGTATTCTCAACCAAAATTGTTATATTACCTGGGTATAAAATAGACTAATTCATAATAATTGAGATGCAACCGAGTCGACCCTCGCGAGCATGACCTCGTAAGTATTGTATCCGACCAGCTCGGCATTCCTAATTACGACAGCCGTTGAGTCGTGTAGGATGAGCATCCCTGTATTTCTGTTGCAGGCTACCTAACAACTACTTCGTAATCGTGTCTGACTCAACATAGAAGTCGTTAACCATATTGAAGACACCCTTGAACTAGAAACAAGCTCTCAAAACACTCCTCGGCAGCAGTTTGGCCAAGAGTGAGAGTACTCATCACTTATCCCAGTGTGCAGAAATGCGGGACAGCAGACTTCCTTGGCCTATGTCATTGGTTGCACGTTTGGGAGGAGATTCTTTTGGACGACTGCGATGCTCATGCATTATTGAGCATGTGCTACAGCGTACTGCTGTCCAGTGGCTCAATAGCTAATTCTATGCGAAGGCTATGAAAACAGGTTCTTGGTGCCATTGCGTAGTCGAAGAGATTTCCAAGGTTATTTTTCTACTACGTGAACGAAGTATCTACTGCAACCTCACATAAACCCGAGACCATGGGTCAAACGCTCGATAACAATAACCTCTCTTCATACGAACTCATCGGAATTAAATTCCTTGCTAGTTGTCGTACCCTTGAATGCTAAAGGGGGAACACGAGAGGGAGCCATAGATCTTAGACCGGACAATTCTCCATAACAAGTTAACCACCGACGAAGGGTGGATCTTGCTAGGGATTATGCTACAGGAGTCTAGGACTGTACTTACAGCTGAACGTACGTTCCGGAGTAAGTAGTAGGTATGCATGTCGGTAGGTCTGTCTGTCTGTCTGTCTGTCTTATTAATCCACTGCAGACTTTCACGTAGGTACAATGCATGCTGCTTTGCGGAGTACATATAGAGAACAAGAATGAGACTTGACCACTCAAATCCATCTCTGTAAAGCGAGAGTACGTACGCTCTTTCGGGGACAATATCCAATGGACCGTACGTGAGATATAGCAACAAGGAATACACAACGCAGGCGACGTATGACCCATGCCGTGGTCTAACTAGGTACTCCGTCTCTCACAGCACTATTGCCCCTGTTTCATTCTTAGGGAGCAGTTTTTCTGGCCCAAATTGGCGAGTCAGAACCAGTGAACAGCAGAATCACGGTCAACATATTGATTCGTGCTTTGCTAGAGCTACGGAGTACGCAGTACGTACTCCATACTCCATAGGTACCTTTATCCATTTGTCTCAACTCCAAGGGTCCTGTCCTCCAACTTCAAAAAGGAGTAAAGAAAAAGCCACAAGTAAAACCTTCCGCATCAGGCCCTCGACGCTCGAGCCTCATCGCCTCTTTAAGGAATGATTGCCAAACTTGTTCCCTAACTTCTTTCTTGGCCTGCTCAATCTGGCTTGAGAGACGGGTGGGAACCCATCAGGGAACTCATGCCCAATCATGATTGCGAGAAAAATTCTCCAACTGCAATGACGACTGGAATGTCAACGGCCATGACCCAATCAGGGACAATATTCTCAAAGCAGTTGAAATCAGGGACGGCTGCCAAGACCGCAAGCGCGCACATGACAAGAAGGGTGGGGAATGGCTTACGCGGCACATCCTCTGTCTCGTGCATTGTGATATGCTTGGCATCGGTTGCAGTGGCAAAGAGTGGTTGACCAGTTGGCGGAGGCATTTCGGTAGATGAGACGCAGTGTATATTGGTGTGTTTGGGGTTTAGGAGGGGTGGATTACTCCATTTTACAAAGATGACTCTTGCTTAATGATGACGCTGTTGGTCATGCAGAGTGAGGAGGCGGGGTGGTACTATAGTCTGTACCCTGTCCTCAGTAGGCGAGTATGACTATGGAGTATAGATTGCGTTGCAGCATGAGGTTGTGGCTATTCGTCTTGAAAACGGATTCTATACATGCCTGCTGTGCTTAGGAGGACTCTCGAATGAACTGCAGATCCGGTGCTGGTCATAGAGGAGTAGATGGTCGAAAGATAGTGATCAGCCATTGAAAAGACAACGGAACTTATGTCCTAGACTTTGACATGCGATGGGTTGATGATATTCTGTGCACTGAAACAATGTTAGATGGTATAAAATACTGTGTCCAGCTGGTGCGAGGCCGTGTAGGGATCCAAGTATCGGCTGTGGGAAGGAGAGTTAGGAACACATCTCATCCTTGGGGCGCAGCGATTCAATGTAGCGGACCACCTTCGAAAGACAATCAAACATCGCAAGGCTCGTCGCATCTCAGGACACGACGTCATTCAAACAGCTCCGACGAAGAATCAGCAAATCGTTCCTCGAGGTAATAATTAGATTGATGGGTTCTATGAATCAGAGTGATCGGTCTCGCGAATATACAGCTAGCTCGAACACTGAATATGGATGCTCCAACGAGCCACAAAGCCGGGAACGCCGAGAAATGGTAGACAGTGATATGCACAGAAAGCTTATAGATCAAGATGTGAAACATCAACCGACGTCGACTGCACCAGGCGGCCTACGGGTGCATCCGCACGACTGAATTGAATAGACGAGCAGATCCTTAATGAATACGGTCCAGCTTTGCCCGGTTCATAGCAATTTGATCGTCGACGAAATCGCTCTGTAGCAAGTCAGCTGAAGTCCACAGGCACTAGAGAAGCAAGCCGGAACACTCACCTTGCCCATGATCCGCTCTAGGTGTCTGTTCTGCTCGTCAAGTTCGCGGCCTGTGGCACGAGCAAGTCCATTCAGGCGACTGGCAGCACCGGACAGAAGATCCAGGTTCTGCTCGATCTCATCCTCCATAGCTTCATCCTCACTGTCTGCCTCGAATTGATACTTGGCACGCTCCGTGACATTGGCCCTGCTCTTGCCATGCGGTTTACCCGCTTCCCTTTCAATCTCCCTGAATGTGCGCTCCATTCTCTGGTTGGTCTGATATGCCTCATTGCGCGTGCCTTCCCGAGTTGCCCGTTCAGCACGATGGGTCTCAATGATCTTCTCGTCCCGCTCCCGTCGTCTCCTGGCGCTAGTGAATGGGTTTGACACGTGCACCGCGAACATGCTCTTATTGAGAGTTTTCAGCTCCTTTGCTTTCTCTTCAGCAAGTCGACCCTCGATAGTGGCAACATCCAAGGCTTTCTCGGTGTCATGAATTCTTTCCCCTTGGGCCCCAAGGCGGGCGAGCGTTTCGCGGCCGGTTTCCTCAGCCTGCGCAGCGACGCGCAGAGCATTGCGAGTGGATGAGACATCGCCCTGCTTGATGAATCGCATCTCCTGCTTAATGTTCTGGATTTCCTCCTCTTCCTCTTCTTCCGCAGTGAGCTGTCTCTCCTGATACGTGGAAGTGTTGTACTCATTGCTTCCGCCGCCATAAGCATTGTTCGGTTCTGAGTATGGAGGTGGAGGACCATTCTGTTGCTGCTGTTGTACCCGGTCCCTGGCTCCTCCAAAAAGTGCGTCCTTGTCTGCTGCAGCGGGGTCATTCGGATCGGTGCTGCCTAATCCTCCATAGCCACCAGGGCCGTATCGGGAGGTCGATGCGCCGCCAGCATTACCGAATCGATCAGCACCGTATCCGCCTTGATTGCCATACTGGTTGGGAGCATAGCCCTGAATCTTGTTATCGCCTGGGATGCCTCCAGGTGCAGGGGTGCCGATGGGAGAGCGTCCTTTCATCGAGCCTGGTCCAGCAGGCTGTTCGGAGGGCGGAAGAGGGGCTACTCCAGCGTTCATCTTGGCTCTGGTATACGGGTCAATTGGTGCTGGCTTCGCATATGGGTTGGCAGGAGGAGCTGGACTCTTGCTCTTGGACCGGGAACCAAAAAGGGCCCGGCGGTTGGACGAGTCATCGTCGTCGCCGGACTTCTTGAACAAGCCCATTGCGGATTGCCAGGGAGGTGTAGGAATGAAAGGGGTATCAGGGGAAATCGCAGACAGCACAGAAAGCAAAAAAGACAATGGAAGTGTTTACAACAGTCTAAATGAGACGGGGTAGTGGGTGAAAGCTGAGAAGGTGTTAAATGTAGTTGAGACACTCAGGGGAGTTTCAGGCAAATAATCTAAATTGAGGGGGAGGAGTCGAGACCTGAAGCGTTAATACAAATACAGCAATAGGTGAGTAGGCTGGGAATGTCTAACTAAAACATGTGGTAACAGTGTATGAGACACGTATTGTGGCGCAGGGAGAGGCGGTGATTAGCGCTAATCCAATCATAGTTAGCTGGGATGGCTGAGCCAAAGTTGACGCCTCAGAAATAGCAGCAACCGTACTCCTGTTCTCTCTGCCTATTTTCTCCTCTGGTTTGCTGAGAAACTACCACGTCTGGGAGGCTCTACAGCAACCATGGCGCCATATCCTGGGTCTGATGCTGACTATATCAAGGACAAGGCGCGGAGGGACTTGTTGACCCTCCTTGAAGGCGTGAGTGAGGCTCCTTCCTGGTCGTCCCCTTCTCAACAGCATCGATGTTACCGGAAGCCGAACTTGAGCTAAATCAGAACTACACGGGCAGGTGCGTGGTAAGAAGAATCTTGTCATCAGCCAAAATCTGGCAGGTCCAGTTGGGATCTTCGTCAAATTCTCCCAACTCCAAGAATACGGCGTAGATCGAGTCTTTCTGCTCGAGAATGCCAATGTTGACTCATCCCAACGCAATGTCATCTTCCTAATCCATGCCGAGAAGATACGCCAGGTGCAAACAGCAGCAGGTATGTCATCTCGGCTCTATTTCTTGTAAAGCATTGCCTGCATTATCTGTCTGGCCTCCTTTCGGGGACAGGACACATGGGACATCAGTAGATTACGCAGAATCATCCACACTCTACGTAGTCAGTCAAGTTCCCTATATCAAAACAATCCATGTTCCCATCAAGAGGGCTACTACTGGAGCTCATCCCTAAGGCTTTCTTTCTCTGAATTGTCCGATAGAATGCCATCAGAATGAGCTGACATTTCTCTATAGAGCAAATCAAGCGTCTACAGCAGAACGGCAATGTTGAGCATGAATTTTCCATATTTTGGCTACCCAGACGAACATTTGTAAGCAATAAGATCCTGGAAGATGCAGGAATCATTGGCGATGTGAATATCGCCGAGTTTCCCCTGTATTTTGTACCTCTCGAACAAGATGTCCTTTCCCTGGAATTGGACGACTCCTTCGGTGACCTCTACTTGGTAAGAACCAGAAAAATTGTCTCACTGCAACCCATTTGCTTATCATCACGCAGCATAAAGACCCAGGTTGTATCTTCCTCGCCGCGAAGGCTCTCATGGATATTCAGCAAAGACAGGGTTATTTTCCTCGAATCATTGGGAAGGGAGATCACGCGCGCCGACTCGCAGACCTTCTGTTGCGGATGAGAAAGGAGCTCGATGCTGAAGAGAGCTCCGGTTTGAGGGGTCCTTCTGCAAGAGGACTTCTGCCCAGCGCGAGTACCGAAAGTCTGATCATTATTGACCGGATGGTGGACTTTGGCACTCCCCTACTCACGCAGCTCACGTACGAGGGCTTAATTGATGAGTTTGTCGGGATCAAGAATAACCAGGCAGATGTTGATACGGCTATCGTTGGAGCCAACTCTGTTCCCCAAGCGCAGGAGTCTTCCAAGGCTCCTCAACAAACCCTAAAGCAGGGACAGAAGCGGAAGATACAACTGGACTCTTCTGATCAACTGTTTAGCCAAGTGCGTGACGCAAACTTTGCCATAGTCGGCGATATTCTGAATAAGGTGGCCCGGCGTCTAGAAAGCGAGTATGAGACTCGTTATGCGGCCAAGACGGCTTCAGAATTACGTGAATTCGTGAATAAACTGCCAACTTATCAATTGGAGCACCAAAGTCTTCGCGTTCATACGAACCTCGCCCAAGAGATAATGGGTAACACGCGCTCAGATATCTTTCGCAAAGTTCTTGAAGTCCAGCAAAATAATGCTGCGGGCACTGACCCGACGTATCAACATGATGCCATCGAAGAATTGATTGCCAGGGATGTGCCTCTTAAGACTGTTCTCCGTCTGCTGTGCCTGGAGTCGTGCATGTCAGGCGGACTCCGTTCCCGGGATCTCGAGCATTTCAAGAAGCAAATTGTCCACGCCTACGGACATCAGCACATACTGACCTTCTCTGCCTTGGAGAAAATGGAGCTCCTGCAGCCCCGTTCCTCGGCCGCCACCATGCTTATTCCGACTGCTGGTGCTCAGCCAGGAACTAAGACAAATTATAACTACTTACGGAAGAATCTACGCCTGCTGGTGGAAGAAGTCAGTGAGAAAGACCCGAACGACATTGCCTACGTATACAGCGGCTTCGCTCCACTCAGCATTCGTCTAGTCCAGTGCGTTCTGCAGAAGCCCTATATATTCTCACTCGTCAAGGGCGGTGCTGCCTCTGCTACCTCCACCCCTGCAAGCACTGCATCCCCCGGCTGGCTCGGATTCGAGGACGTAGTAAAGAGCGCCCGTGGCGCGACGTTCAGCATCGTTCAGAAGGGAGATGATAAGGCTGTTCGTGCGCGACAGACGCTGAGCGGCAACAATGCCACCAAGACTGTGTATGTATTCCTCCTAGGTGGAGCGACCTTCACAGAGATTGCAGCACTGCGATTCATCGCAGCTCAGGAGGCCCCCCGCCGAAGGATTGTCATTTGCACAACGAGCATCATCAACGGCGATCGAATGATGGAGGCAGCTATCGAGAAGGGAAGTTTTGCAAAGACCGAGGGATGAGAGGCATGTTCTCGGACTGGAAATTCGGTGGGGCCAGTGTCCTGTATATGGACTAATTCAATAACGATCCTGTCAACGTAAATCACGAAATGCTGTTACGATCATCGATAACCTATGTATATTGACTTGCCCAATTGTCCCACCACCCGTCAACGCGTGAGTACTTTCTTCATTTTCAGACGTATAGATTATGGACTATTTAGATCTAATACTTAAATCCAGAGTTGACACCCATTAACCGCCCTTGGTATCTCTCCGTTACTTCACCCAATTTCACCATGACCCCTGCAGCCAATAGTCTGACCTGTTCCCGAGGGTCATCCACTCCCTGTGCCGCCGGAGTTCGATCAAAAACTGACCCAGCCCACTCGCGCAACTCGATTACTTGAGTCGCAAATTCAGTGACGAGTCGTTCCTCGCCGGAGGAGCCTGACGCGACGTTCAAGTCCAGTACTGCGAGGAACAGCGAGAGCAGCGCGGAGACGATTGAAGGGTCCTCCGAAAGCGGTCGTGTGTAGAGCGAGAGGAGAAAAGTCAACGTCTCCTGAGTGAGATTAGGAAGGTACGGGTTGTGGGGCCCCATGGTGGAAAGGATGAGTGTCAGTGTCTGGATGAAGAGACAGAGGAGATGCGGAATCAGAAAAGGGTTGTACGAGGGCGCGGTTGACCTGTGATAGAGGAATTTGTCAATTCTGGCGTCCTTCAGATTTACGGGAAAGACTTGAGTTCTTACGAGGAAAATTGCGTCATCATCAATGCAAAACGAGCTGTTAGAGGATAGAAGAAGCCCTCTGACAATACTTTGTGAAGGTCCCTGACCGTCGACTTCTGTCGCTGCGCATCTCGCTGCTGGCGTTTCTTCTCGACCTCCATTCGTGACGAAAATGTTCGCACCTTGAGTGCATTCGGACCAGACGCGGCGTCCGCAGCTTGAGCCGCGATTGGTTCAAGTGACGCTTTTGAGAGGGTCTTTGTAAGACTCGCGATGGGGGATTCATTGGTTAGATATAAGTCCTCCACGTTTGCCGGCAGCCTCCTGGTTGGGAAGGAAGTGTCGGGCAAGGTTGGCAATCCAAGTGTGCGAGCATCTTCCTCGCCGTTTCCTGCTAATTGGCGAGCACCTAGACCCAACGCCGTGAGGACTGCGGACCGCTGGGTCTGGGACAAATCTCCATCGAAGAATACCGCAGCGAACCAGCGGCCCATTTTCAGCGGTTGCGATACAATCAAGGAAATCATGCTCTGTAACCGACATTCATGGAACTTAGGGAGTTTAGCCTGCTCCTGCAGTCCGACCAGGACAAGAGCCAGCTCCTCTACATTTTCAGCCAGCTCGGTTCCGAAGCCAGTCTTGCGTCTAATCAGAGAAGGAGCAGTGGTTACGGCCAATTCAAATCGTTCGAGGTTCTCCGTATCCCGTAAGCCAGCTATCAGATCGCGAATGTATCTGTTCGAGTCAGTCGTCTGTATCTTCGCAATGTAGTTCTGTCAACTTACACTGGTGGTGTCGGTTTGTTGCGTTGTACAAGAGTCGGGTCATCGTCGGAGTCCGATGGATCCTCGTCAGGCTTCTCGTACGGTATTAGATCATCATCATCTTCGTTCTCATCATTCTCCGAGTCCCCAATCTCTTCTATTGACACAATCTTGACCGATTGTGTGGTGGAGGCTCGCGCACGCACAGTTCGAGAAGAGGATGGTCCTTGAGCGGGTGGACGATGCTCCTTAGGTGATTGTTCTTTCGATATTCTGATATAATCCAAACTTCCCACGCGATCTGCTTTTTTGGCTAAGTCCAGATACGAGACTGCTTCGTCGCTTTCCATTTCTTCAAGATCAAATTTCATAGCTTTTCCCGGCTCCTCAATGAGTTGCGAGATTGCGGTGCCGATGATCATACCGAGAAGGCGGGCTTTGGAGGCTGAGGCTGCTAAACGATTCGAGACGGTGCTCAGGAAAATACTAGAACGCCCTGCGTCCTTGACTGCACAGCTATCCAGCCGTTGAAGACACCCAGCAGCCAAGAGAACAACTTGAGCATTTGCTGATAAATATTAGCGCAAGCTTTGACATTCGGACAATGGGTTTCCGGACTACCTTCTTGACTGCTCATCGGGGCGTGTCTGATGTAAAACTTATCGCCAGATTGTTCGAGGCTACTGGAGAGCAAAGCTTGAATTATATCTGAAAAGCATCTATTAGTTGAATCTCAGAGGCCGCGCACCCCGGAAGACGTTACCCTTTCTATCCGACAAAGCTGCTAGTAGCGCTCGGCGAAGACCGACAGTATGTATTGAGCCAGCTTGACCTTTTGCAAGCCAGTCTGCTAGCTGACTTACTAGGTGTGGACGTTTGCAAATGATGATTGAGCACAAGGCCGCAACACCTTCAACGGTTTGGTTGGACGTACTCGCAAAGTCCAGGTAGGAGATGCTAACCGGAAAATACCTCTTCTGCAGGTCGCGGAAGACTGACTCGAGAAACGCCAGTTGCTCAGTCGGCCGAAGTTTGTCATAGAAAGAGTCAAAATGTGTTGGAAGAGCTCTGTCTAGTAGAAGGCCCGAATAGATTTCCCTTACAAGGTGATCTTGAAAATGAGTTAGTATGAACAAGCTGCCAAAGGATCGTAGGACTTAACCTGTGTAGCCAATACTTAATGACCGCGCCATTAGAAGAGAAGCTGCTTTTAGACCCGCGTCGTTGTTAGGATTAATCCTCGAGACAATCTGACATATATTTGCCCCCAACCAGGAAGCATATTGAGTTCCTTCACCAAGCCAAGAGAGCTTCGCGAGGCCTTCCAGGTCTTTTATCAAGCTCAGTGCTTCTGCAGCGGCAGGTAGGAGTTTGCTGGCACCAAGAAGAGCAATAAGCTCCTTCCAAGCTAGCTGCTTCTGGGTTTCATTAGTGTGAAGAGCATGGATGTCATTGTAAAGGCGCAACACAAAGTCTGTCGGTTTCAGCAGGGCAGAGATGACCGACAGAATCTCTGCAAGTCGAATACGATTATTCGATCCTTCCGCATTTTGATGTGCTGCTCGTGCTGCGGTTATCAGAGAACGAAGCTGAGTGACCAAGCAACTCAATCCAGCAACGCTGCTGAAACATCGCAAGAACATGCCTCGTAGTTTACTAGCTTCGCCCTTTGTCTCTTTCAGATATTCCCAATGATCGGGAATCGTGACGTTCACTAAGACATTGATTACCTGAGTGGTCTTTGCGCTCGGGACCCTGATATCAAAGTCTGGAGGAAGAGCCTTTTTGTTTGAGGGATCAAGTATGGAGAGTACATGAGCGATATTATCCTGATCAGGTTTTGACTTCAGTACCGCCAATATATGATCGGACGATGTCGAATTATTGTCTAGCTCGGCTGCTGACCCAGTTTGGCGTTTCTGAAGACCATCCAGGGAATTTCCCTCCGCGGCAGGCGATAAAATCGACCTGGAATCGCGCGTCGTTATATTCACAGTTGTGAGAGCTTCCATTTTCGATAACTAAATGTCTCTCGAAAACTGGAAAGACACTTGATGGTCATGCCTCAAGTGGGAGGAAATTGTATGGAGCGGACTAGTCACGTGCAGCGGTGTGTCCTGGGGCCAGTCACTGAGCAGTCAACAGTGCACCTGGCTTCTTACTTTCATTCATCGCGATACAACTGGCTATTAATCTCATTTTCCAATTTTGAACAGGGAGACAGGGCTCTGTTCCAGGTCAGATAACTTGATATCGGTCAAAAAAAGTGTCTTGAAGCAGTTCGAAGACAGTTACGGTAAACATCACAAGAAGCATCTAGTGACTGTTATTCGCCGAGTTCAGACTTCTAGCTCTGAATATGGCACCTCTAAGTTCTACGTCTCGGTGGTATGCATTAGCCTGGAGGGCCCAAGGCAAGAATGGTTAACGTAAAGCAGGAAGCACCTTTACTCGGTCTTGTCGAAACCAGGTCCTTACAGCGATGAAGACTGGGTTCCTGGTCCAGAGACGATAAGTGCTTTGGAATCATCGAAGATCCTGTACGTGCTTGCCAAGGTCATGATTACATCAGCTTGCTAACTTGAGCCCAGAGTGATGTCAGTCAGAGATTGTTGTCTACGACCATGATCAAGTCACTGATGAATTTGATACAGTGGCGCGGGTGGTTTAGGATGCGAAATTCTCAAAAACCTTGCCTTGTCAGGATTCAAGGATATTCACGTTATAGACATGGGTAAGTGTTTCTATCACCATACGGCTTTGCGTAATCCGTTGGTCTAACTCCAAAAGATACGATCGACATCTCCAACTTGAACCGGCAGTTCCTGTTCCGGCAAACTGACATCGGCAAGCCTAAGGCAGAGGTTGCTGCATCATTCGTAGAGAAGCGAGTCAAAGGTGTCAAGATCACGCCATATGTCGGCAAGATTCAGGACAAGGACGAGGATTACTACATGCAGTTCAAGATCATTGTATGTGGTTTGGATAGTATCGAGGCCAGACGGTGGATCAATTCTACTCTTATCGGGATGGTTGATCCGGAGAATCCTGAGAGTCTCAAGCCTCTCATTGACGGGGGAACAGAAGGTAAAGCCATCCGACGCTACCGATGTCGTTGGTCACAAAGTTATGCTAATCGTAAGTAGGTTTCAAGGGTCAGGCCCGTGTAATTCTTCCAACTCTGTCCTCATGCATTGAATGCCAGCTAGATATGCATGCTCCTCGGCCTGCTGTTCCCCTTTGCACCATTGCAACTATCCCCAGACAGCCTCAGCATTGCATTGAGTGGGCTCACCAAATCGCCTGGCAAGAGAAGCGCAAGGACGAGGCCTTTGACAGCGATGACATGGAACATATCAGCTGGGTTTATAACGCCGCCCTTGAAAGGGCAAACCAGTTCCACATCCACGGTGTAACCTTTCAAATGACCCAAGGCGTGGTCAAGAATATCATTCCCGCTATTGCTTCGACAAACGCCGTCATCGCAGCCGCGACCACGTCAGAAGCACTGAAAATCGCTACCTCCTGCAACCCTTACCTGGAGAACTATATGATGTACGCTGGTGAAGAGGGGGTCTACACTTACACATTTGAAGCGGAAAAGAAACCAGATTGCCCAGTTTGCGGCAATCTGGCCCGAAAGATTACTGTAGACCCGAACATGACGCTGGAGGAATTCATAGAGAGTCTCGGTGAGCGAGCCGAGGCCCAGCTCAAGAAGCCGAGTATGAGAACGGAAGAAAAGACACTCTACCAACGCTTCCCGCCTCAGCTGGAGGAGCAGACCAGGAGCAACCTGAAGCTAAAGCTGAAGGAACTGGTTGAAAATGGTCAGGAAATTGCGGTCAGCGACCCCGCGTACACTATTGACTTCCGCTTCCAATTGATCTTCAAATGAAGCGGCGTGGCTGCAGCTTGCAAGCCTGAATGGGACATGGTTGCGTTACGACGATATGCGATTGAGTACATTGCCAGAAAGACACACAGCGACTTGAAGAAAGAATAGCTGCATTTTCTATTATCTGAAGAAGATCCCCACGCAGACTCCTAACGTCGTAAAGGAGGTTTTGACCAACTTTTTTCGTAGATGTACAACAAGCACAGAGATAACGAAAACCAACGCCGGCTAATGCATTATATACTTCGAAAATTGTTGGGACAGGCCGCATGAATGTTATTACCGCATGAGATCCGTCAAGCCTCGCTTCCATCTCGCGCATTTCAGCTTGAGCACCTTCACACTTTCGAGGAAAAGATAGTCACTTTCAAACTGGCCAGTGCTCTCAACGTTGAAGATGAAATGATCGCGAATGCGGCCCAGCTTCACCTTGCCTTGGAATTCTTCGTGTCGCAGGCACTCTCTGCTGACGGTATCCTTGAAAGGGTCACGAACCACGGCCTTCATCTCGCCTGCACGACCCTCATATTCGCTTCCTTTCTGCGCGGCTTCCCTCGACGTAACGGGCTCCAGCTCAACAACTCCCTTGGGGAAGCATTTGGCGAATTTCTTGGCGTCTTCACCGATGATAGGGCGGAGAATCTTGATGTCTGGCATGAGGCGGTATGTTGCGGTAGCCACGGGCGAGAACTTGGCGTGATCAGCTCCGATCCCTTTGATGCAGTGCAACTCCATATCGATCTTCTGTCCTGGACGTAGCTTGGCGATCAGAATATCTGGATTGACGGGCTGAATTGCACCGTCGCCAGTGAAAAATTGTTCCTGACGTCCGACCGGGTGGAAGGTGATATCCTTGGCATAAACATGCGCGTTCTTGTAAAGTTTGCGAGGGTCATCCTCGCCCGGAGCAGCATTGGGGTTCTCGGTACACTCAACATCCAAGCGTAAAACGATGGTGTTGTAGTCGGCGGGGGTGCTGCCAGATTCAGGATCGTCCTCTGTGGGCTTCTTAAACCAGCGCATCCAGTTGAGACCCTCTACTGAGCCTTTCAACGGGATCAGACCCAATCGCGAAGCGAGAACTTCGTCCTGTATAACGGAAGTGTTGTTGTGAACAAAAACATACTCGATGGCCAGGGTTGGCACTTCAGCCATCAAAATTCGACGGAAAGCATTTGCGATGGAGGCATCAAGTCCAATCAAGGAGAAGGAGGATTCGAACGGGTCATTGCGATGAAACTCGACTCGGAAGCCCTATGAACAGCAGGTGTGAGTTGAAGAAAGTTTTCGCCATCGCGACACACGATGAAAGCTAATATATGAAAGGTGCTCAAGTAAAACGCACATCTCTGAATGTTTCCAAATTCCATTCATGCGACTCGCCGGGCCAGTGACCCGGAAAATCTGTGGAGGGGATATTGGTGACCGTCTCTGGGTTGATACCGACGATCTAAGAGCTGGTTAGTGTCGAGGATATTCACAGACGATGTGTTAGAAAGTAATGTACCCTTCTACGATCAAGCTCCTCCTGCGATGGGATAAGAGGCGCCATGGTGGCCGACAACACGAGGTAGATTGACTGCTGAGGACTGAGAGGTTCAATCGAGAAATCAGCGGATGATAATTTCTTTGGGACAAGCGGCAGTATTTTCTGCAGGCTTAAGGCGGTCATGTCCTCCCACTTAAACGGCACCCATTATAGAGACAATCTTGGTGCTGCTGGTCCGTCCGGATCAGAAAACCAGTACTGTGTTCACCAATACAGGTTTAGCGCGGGTACGCTTTAGAGACCATTGAAAGACCAACCAGAGGCGGCGTGATGACCCGAAGCATTCATCACGTGATTACCCAATTTGTCCCGCAACCTCCAAGCGTCAGTTCGCATCGACCGTCCTGTAAGAGTGCCTCCTTCACTACGTCCGGACTGAGGACAGTCGGCCAGTTTGATCCCTCATCCTTCCTTGCGATATTTCGAATGGCTGCCTCTTTCGCCCGTCTGGCGGGCAGTGCGCCCAAGAAGCTCTGTCTTCGCCCCTCTACCTTCGCCAGAAACACCCGTTCGATATCGACGACCCTTCCCCGTCGGTACGCGGAGCCTACCAGCTACCAGGCTACCAGACTCGTCCCGACGGATCCGACGTTCACACATCTGGCCAACAAGGCTACCGCAGAGTCCGAGGCCGCTTCGAATCTTGAGTCGCAGGCGGAAGGCGTCGACCGCAAGATCCGTCACTACACTGTCAACTTCGGTCCCCAGCATCCTGCCGCTCACGGTGTGCTTAGATTGATTCTGGAACTCAATGGCGAAGAAATTGTTCGCTCAGATCCCCATGTCGGTCTGCTGCACCGTGGTACCGAGAAGTTGATCGAGTACAAGACCTACATGCAGGCTCTGCCCTACTTCGATCGTCTTGACTATGTTTCTATGATGACGAATGAGCAGTGCTTCTCGCTGGCTGTTGAGAAGCTGCTTAACATCGAAATTCCTGAGAGAGCCAAGTGGATTCGGACTTTGTTCGGCGAGATCACGCGTATCCTGAACCACCTCATGTCGGTTCTTTCCCACGCCATGGACGTTGGTGCTTTGACACCTTTCCTTTGGGGTTTCGAGGAGCGTGAGAAGCTCATGGTAGGCGGCATCTTTTCTCTTAATCGCGTATGATCGGAGAGCAATGCATTGACCTTTCATCTTCAATAGGAGTTCTACGAGCGTGTCTCCGGTGCCCGTCTACATGCTGCATATGTCCGCCCTGGTGGCGTATCGCAGGACCTTCCCCTTGGCCTTCTCGATGATATCTACCAATGGGCCACCCAGTTCGGCGACCGCATTGACGAGACCGAGGAGCTGCTTACAGATAACCGTATCTGGAAGGCCAGAACTCAGGGTGTTGGTGTTGTCACCGCGGCTGACGCCCTTAACATGAGTTTCACTGGTGTCATGCTCCGTGGTTCTGGTGTCCCCTGGGATATCCGCAAGTCGCAGCCCTACGATGCCTACGATCAGGTTGAGTTCGACGTTCCCGTTGGTGTCAACGGTGATTGCTACGACCGTTACCTTTGCCGTATGGAGGAGTTCCGCCAGTCCTTGCGCATCATTCACCAGTGCTTGAACAAGATGCCCGCTGGTCCTGTCCGCGTCGAAGACTACAAGATCTCTCCTCCTCCCCGTGCCGCCATGAAGGAGAACATGGAGGCTCTGATCCACCACTTCCTTCTCTTCACCAAGGGATACGCCGTCCCTCCTGGTGAGACTTACTCCGCCATTGAGGCCCCCAAGGGTGAAATGGGTGTCTTCCTTGTCAGTGACGGCAGCGAGAGACCCTACCGCTGCAAGATCCGTGCTCCCGGCTTTGCTCATTTGGGTGGATTCGACCAGATCTCTCGTGGTCACCTTCTGGCAGATGCTGTCGCTATTATCGGTGGGTTTCACTTTGTTGCAACATTGATCCCGAGTTCCTCCAGTCCGCTAACATGTCAATTGCCAGGTACAATGGATCTTGTGTTCGGTGAAGTCGACCGGTAGAGATATGTGAATTATTACATATCTAAATATGTGCAAATGCATCATCATGTAGAGGCAGAGGATAATCAGAACAGAGCGAGCTCCTCTAGGCGCCTTTCCCTCAGGTCATTCTCTAATTATTCAACTTGAAAAGTGAACATGCTACCGGTTGAGTGCATGGGGTGCCAGTGTAAATGGAGACGTGGCGATTCGACCGCCGAGCTGTACCAATTTCTTCCCATGGCGTTTTGTTTCCTTCCATTTTCTTTGTTTTTCTGTTGCCATAAACCTGTTTATAGTGACATGTGGATCTTCAATACAATGTCATGTGCTGAATAGAATTATGGGACTACAGGATTCTTAACATAGACCACTGCGGTCTCCCTCTTGGTCAAAAAGGCAACTGCTCCGGATTCCATAGCTGAATCTCTTGCTACCAACCTTATCTCGGTGAGCAAATGAAAGTCTCATGCAGTTATATCACTGCGATGTCGTAGGCTGTTGTATGACAATATGTAGATAAAAGAAACGAAGAGGAGCAGATGGAACTCCCAGCAGCACAATATCCAAACCAGAGCGCCCTAGTTAAAGAAAACAATGCCGACGCCGACGCCAACGCGAATGCGAACGAATAAAGGTGACAAATCAACACCTGAGAATGTCTACTAACCCTCGAATAATGCCAGATTGAGGACCGAAGACTATGCCGCCCGAGCCATTCCGCCGAAAGACCAAGGCAATCACACCGCCATGAAGCTCAGCCCCGGACCAGAATACGGACTACACATTATCATCATCGTACATGAAAGCGATATCGCGCGGGCGGCGCTTGTTATATGAGACGAATTCAGCATCACCGGGAGGCCGTTCGTTGCGGTTATTCGCTGTCAGCATGCTTTGGATACTCATGCAGACGCTTTCAACCGTTTGCACAGGCGACCATCCGGCAGAGCTGAGGAGGTCGAGGCAGATGATGCCGTTGCTATAGATGTGGGGGTGCATGGGGATGGGCCGTGGGGTATCGGATGTACTGGGGAGTTCGATAAACTGGACTTCTGGTGGTTCTGTGGTATCATTAGCGACGTTGATGCAAGCGCGGGGCTGTGCGGCAAGAGAGCGGGCTCACCGATGGGATATTTCGACCCAAAGGTGAATTTGAGTCGGTAGGTCTGGTCCTTGTAGAGCGGGTTGTCATCAAGGACTTTAATGTCCATTTGCCATTCTTCGAGATTATCGTCTTTGATTATTGAGATGCCTGGCGGGAGATGTTCCTTCATCTGAACAGAGATTGAACGTTAAAATCATATGGTTGTGGCGATGCTGCCGTCTTTGTGATGCTGGGACCAAGGTGCAATTATACGGCAGGGAAGTGTAGGTACCTTCAGGAGCTCCTGTAGATGTGCATTCAGCGTCAGTTTATACCATTCTTTATCGAGCGGGGAGATGGAATGGAATACTTTGCTCAAACGCTTTCCGGCAAACATCTTGGAAGACGAGCCCCTTGAGCGGAGGCTGAGAGGTCTTCAAGATACACAAGCTAATGTCTGATGTAGGGTCAGGTACTAGTAGTATCGAACGCGCGTAGAGCTTGTTAGGGCAGCTGTGTATGACGTCCTGATGAGGCGGGGCTCTTGATGTCGGTAAGGTAGACGAGCGATTGCGGGGTACCACTCAGAGAAGTAAGCTAGAGGAGAAAATATCTATCAAGTGAGGGCAACTTGTAAAGCTTTAGAGTAAAAGAGACTGACCAAGAGAGAGGAAGGTGAACGTTGCTGGATGTATATAAAGGGAAAGCTCCAAACAGCAGGTACCTGTAGTGGGTAAGGCAGCCGATCACCTGCAGCCGGTCATCTGATTGGTCCGAGAGCATCTGACATCGCAGCACGTGATCCTTTGATATCAGTCTCTCCAGGATTATAGCACCTACATGATTCGGTTGGCGCTTCACTTATTAATATTAATGACCCGATGACACAACGGTTAAGTAAACGGTCGGTCCACTTTTTAGGACATCATTGGGCAGAACAGGTGGCGCAACTTTGAAATCAGGTGGAAGGGCGAATACGGTGAAATGCCAGCAAACGAAACTCCGAGAATAAGAAAAGCATCTGAATCTGCACAGGAATCATAGAAATCATATTCGAAGATCAACTCGAACATGATCCGGATACACAAGATATGAACAGGCTCTTATAAACACGAAAGGAAACCGATCGACTGTCGGTTAGAATCTCAAGAATGGGGAGTTCGCTCTCGAGCCTCCCGTTCGATTTTTTCACGCTCTTCGTTCTCCTTCATCTCGCGAACCTTGGCCAGAACGACTTCGCGGAAGATCGCGCCGCGTGCGATCTTGCTCAGACTCCGCTTCTTGGTCCCACCGGTTGTACCATCAACAGGCGCAGGGGATGAGCTCCCATTTGCCTCCGACCCTTCGAGAGGAGGAAACGCTGTTGTGTCACAGGATTTGCTGGGTTCTGCTGCAGCTGCCGCCATCTCGGCAGGGCTGGGGATATCGTCCTCTTCGTCTTCTTGCATCTTGAGCGCTTCAATGCGGTTCGCCAGCTTGATGATCTCGATTCCTCTCCGAAGACGGGAGCGGGCGATGTAGGCACGGATCTCAGGCAGCAAGTCGCGGTCGCTGGCAGACTCACCAGTCAGCCACGGGTGTTTCAGGGCATCCTGCGACGTGGGCCGCTTGGCGGGGTCAGGCTGGAGCAGGCTGAGAATGAAGTCCTTGGCATCCTTGGAGACATCGCGCCAGTAGCGTTCATGGAAGACGATCCGGGCAGCGCGGCATTCTTCGATCAGATCGGACAGGCTTTCCGATCGGAAGGGCGAGTATCCGCACAGCAGGGTGTAGGTAATAACACCGAGGGACCACAAGTCGACGGCCTTGCCGTGGCCTTGCTTTAGCATGACCTCAGGCGCCGCATAACCAAACGAGCCCGCCATGGTTGTGAGGACTTCGGTAGGGTTCTCCAGCATTTTCGCGATACCAAAATCAGCCAACACCAGGGGGGATTTGGGGTCGCGAGTGAGATACAGGAGGTTCTCGGGTTTCAGATCTATACACGAGCCAGTATTAGTGCGATGTTCACCCACAGGCAAAAGTTAACTGGAAGACTAACCTCGGTGGACGATATTGCGCTCGTGAAGGTAGTTCACAGCACCCAGCACCTGCCGGATTGTCTGAGAAGCGTCCTTCTCTGTGAATTTGCCGTACTCGCAAATCCGGTCAAACAGCTCACCACCAGTGGCCAGCTGAGTGACAATGTAAAATTTGTCCTAATTCACCGTCAGACTGCGATCGGCGGACGGTAAGCTAAGCTCCTGCACCCACCTTGGATTCGAACCAATCTACAAAGTGAACAATGTTGGGGTGATCGAGCGCCTGCAACATCTCCAGCTCGTCGTAGACCATGCGCTCATTGCCGCGGACATTTTTCTTCAGGATGATTTTGATTGCGACCTTTCCCCGGCTGCTCTCTGCTTCACGGACGATACCATAAGTGCCTGCACCTAGCGTCCTTCCAAACCTATACAGCGCTCTAGAAGAGGTGAGCATAATGTCTTCAATGGGCCTGAGATGATAGAGAAGGAGGCTAAAGGGCTCGAACACCGTACTTTTTTTCGTAACTCTCGGGCTGCCCGGACAGCTTGTTAAACATAGTAGAGACTAAGACAACCATGCCATGATTAGCATCTTTCCGCACAAGGGACAGCAGCTCCATTGAGAAAAGGCGAAGGACAGAAGACAAAAAGAAACACAATGAGAAACTCAGATCCCACGGGAATGCTCGAACCAAAGAACAACAAAAGAACGAGTAGTCCGAAAAGACTTGCATTACTACTCGAGAGGGCTAACGGTAATGCTAGCAGGGACATGATCGCACGAAACGAGTTCAGACCAGCAGGCTCCAGTATTTGAGCGCAAGATCAATGGTAGGACATAGGGTGGAGTGAAGCCAGCCACATCACACAGGGCATTGACGAAGCGAAAACAAAGACAAGCGAGACTCACAACTCATTGTGACGAAGCAGGGTCTGTCTGACAGGGACCCAAGCTCGAAAATAGAACGTGTGGTGGAGGGCTGAGGCCAGCGGACAGAACGAAGCTGATGGGAGACCCCGCACGTGAGGGGGCAGGAGGGCGGGGCGAAGGAAATGGTATTGGGAGGGTTTGGGAACGTCGAGGAGGACGATGTCTGTTTCTGTTCCCTCTCTTACGATTCTATCGAGGGATCGAATGTCAGTACATGATCTCGACTAGCCAGGACGGAGCGGCGACTCGACATTAGACGGAGTAGATAGCTGTAAGTCAATAGGGGATAGGAAAATAAACATACTGACCCTCTGAAAGATCACTCCGATCGGTGGAATTGATGCAGATGCACGGGAGGAAAGGTGCTGGAGTGTACAATGTCTCTTCACAAGAAAGATGGACTGAAGAAATAAAGCTGTCTGGACCTTGGACTATCCATAGTTTATTTAATTTTACCACACTGTCAAGACTCCAGACCGTCTCTCTGAATCGCCCCGAGTCTCACCAGCACAGCCACGGAGTCTTTACCTCCAGCTGGTCGAGCCTTGGGCAGCGGCGGGGCTGATCCAAAATATCCCGAATTGGATGACGGAGTACCTTAGTATACGGAGTCCTCTCTAGACTGTCGAGAATGGAATCTCAGTGGCTGAGGTTTCCTTTTCCCCCTAATCATTTCACTGACGTTCTGGACTACCGTCGTAAAATTCGCGATCGGCTATTCTAGGGGCTACGATGCTTGACCTCAGCCTTGTCAGTCCCTTCAGAGTTCAAACTTCACTCGGTTACAATGCATCGTCCTCTTACGCTATCTATGTAGCAGTTCAGATCTCAAGTGGTGTCAACCGTCTCTCGAATTCGATCAATCACATCTTGATCATTTCTGCATTACAGAGAACACTAGGACCCTTAGCCCTTCATCAGCATGAAACGCGCCAGCGACCTTGTGCGACCTTTTTTTGTACCAAAATATCAGCCTTGAAGCCGGATCCACTTTCAAGGCACCACCCAAAAATAGTGGGACGGTTGATGGAGTCAATTCTTCGTCTGTGATGGCTCATGTAACTTCACGTTATTTTTGGTCTTCTTTTCTAGATAGCTCACAATCCATCGTATTCGACACCATCCTCAAGTATCATGAGCAGATATGCGCTTCAGAACCCCGCTAGGTGCAATGAATGGTATACTCCGTACTCTGCCACAAGAAAACCCCAATGTCAAGACGGTTGTCGAACCCTTAGTTACACCTCAAGATACAATTCGTCCAAAACAGAATTGCAGTATGCCTGGTAGTACGCCGCTCCCTTCCAGCCCCGGACCGGAGACCTCAACCCGACCGTCTTCCATCCCTCGGCGCGCAGTCGAGCAATCCGCTGCTCCTTGGTCTCCTTGACAATGACTCTCCCCGAACTACCCAGTTTCTCTTGACCCTCAGGACCCTCCTTGACGGGACTGAAACTCCAGAATGAAGCGGATCGGCGGAAACTCTTCGACGTTTGACGGGCCGACTGCAACTCCCTGATCTCGTCCATCAGTGCGTGGATGTCGGCAATGCTGGAGTTGATCTGAACTCGCAAGGACTCGAGGGTGCTGTTATATCGTCTAATGGACTCGGCGCGTGACGGTGTCACGGGCGTTCGTTTGTGCTCATCCGCATGGACGTTTCCTCCACCCTGCGCGCGGGGAGTCCTGTTAGGTCCTGAAGGTTCGTGGTTCTTTTCCATGACGTCCGCAGGCAGAATCTTGATAGGAAGAGGAGGGGGACGAAAAAGTCTCGCAGGTTGATTCTGCCGACCAGCCTGCCGGAGATCAACCGACGACTTTCGAAGTCGAAGGGGCGAGGGCATGAGTCGCTGATCGTCCTGTGGAATGCGGGGTGGAAGATTCTTTGGAATGTCGAGAGCCAGGTCAACCCAGCCCTCACTATCTGAGATGAAAGGATCATCGTCTGGGCAGAGCATAGACTTGTCGATGATGTCCGTGATGCTGCTTACGAGGGCCCCGACAGGCGAAGGACTCTCCGAGAAATCTGACGCGGTCCATGACTCCACCAGCGAAGCAGGACTCGAACTCTCCGAGTTGATGCCAGGGACTGGAATTGTCGAGGGCAGAATTGCACTACAGGTGACGAAGCTGTCCAGAGCGGAATTCAGCAGAGGAAGCTTTCTTCGGGAGTAGTTATGGGCTGCTCGGCCCATCTCCTCGTAGGAAATGGCGCTGTAGAAATAAAGGGATGTCTTGTAGACTGGATGGATCTGCCGATCAAGAGCCTGTCAATGCATTTCTATCTTGGGAGTAGCAGACTTTACTCACTGGTTCTTTTACAGCCTCAAGGATCTCAAACGAACGGGCGGCGCATTGCTTGTACTGACGCTGGAAATAAAGCAGCTTGACATCTTGAATTGTTTGCTTCCATTGCTCTGGCGACTGAGGCGACGAAGGAGTCTCAAAACGAATGAACTCTTTCGCGATTGACAGAGCCATTTCCAACAAGTGCTAGAACGAAAGACCTGGACGATGACTGACCGAACACAAGACATGCATTTCTCCGGGCAATGGGGACAAATCCAACTGCTGGATAGGGGAAAGATGGATGACCGGACTGAGAAAAACGAGCGTGTGTCAACTTGAGACCAGACGCGTCAAAGTATCGTCAACAATGACTAGATGCGCTGAGGATGAGTGCGGTTCTGAGCGCTGCATTCACAGGTAGCACTTCAGCCTGATTGTGGCATACCAGGAAGATCTAATATGATAATGCTGAAAAGTACTCCATACTCACCTAGTAAATACTTCATTAGTGACATCAAGTCAAATGGCATCAAAGAAATCAGAACCTTTGAGCAATAATAACCATGATGTCGATGGGAGATTCTATCCTCAAAACATACATATAGCTCGTACCTAATTAATCATGACTATTGAGTAACAATAGCATGAACATGACGACTCTCCGCAGGCAGTCATCATCCATCTCATCTACTCATCCAAGCCTTAATGAAATCAGAGCCCAACGTACCAAGAGCAGTCTCTAAATGACCTCAAAACTAATCCCTCGACTCGCGAAGAAACTACCCACTGCAAAATCCACCATGAGACTCGACCGCGCCAACCCACAGCCCTTCTACCACTACTTCAACAACACCTGGACGCCAATCCTGACCTCAACAGACATCACCAAAACCGGCAGCACTGCTAATCTCCACCAAACCCACAGCAAAACCATAACCAGAATCCGACTAACAACATGGAACATCGATTTCCAGACCCCGCTCGGCCGCGAACGCATGGCCGCAGCACTGGAGTACCTGTCCCACCAGCACAGCACCCAGCCCGACAACGAGATCCCATCAATCATCTTCCTCCAGGAGATGGTCGAGTCGGATCTGCAGCTAATCCAAGAATCGGGCTGGGTACAGGAGAAGTTCTTCATCACCGACATCAGCAGCGATCATTGGCGCGGGTCGTACGGGACGACGACGATGATCGATAAACACTTGGTTGTGCGGGGCGTATTCCGGGTACCGTATTCGAATTCAAGGATGGAAAGGGATGGATTGTTCGTTGATGTTGATGTTGGGCGCCCTGGGGCTGAGGGCGGTAAGTTGCGTTTCCCTTTTCTGGTAGTGACAGAAGCTAACGACGCAAAGAACGCATCTTACGCCTGTGCAATACACATCTCGAGAGTCTTGTTTCTCACCTGCCCAGACGGCCGGTGCAGCTACGTCTCGCCTCGAGCTTCATGCATGGGTCTGGTCCTGCGCCTGAACCGCAGGATGAGGGGATGTATGTGCCGCCGACTCCCCATGCGGCTATTCTTGCAGGTGACCTCAACGCCTTTGCGATGGAGGATCGCTCCGCGCCGGAGGAGTGTGGTCTCAGAGACGCGTTCTTGGCTCTGGGCGGGAGAGAGGGGACGGAGGAGAGTTTCACGTGGGGTCAGCAGGTTCCGGATTGGATGAGGGAGCAGTTTGGGTGTAGTCGTATGGATAAGATTCTGTATTGTGGTGGGGTTGGGGCGAAGAGTCTGAGAAGGATTGGGGAGGGGGTCACGGTGACGGTAACCTTTAATCAGTCTGAGAGTGAGGATGAAAATTTCTCTGATGAAGGAGTCTGGGTCACGGATCACTTGGGTCTACAAGGGGAGTTCGAAATCTTGTCATCGAGCTGTTGATTACGCTTGCAGTTGATATTGACAATTGTCTTATCCAGGGGGTTATGTACAGTGTCCATAATGAGCTTCATTGATCAATACGAATATGACTGACATATGTTCAATGGACAGCCTGTCTGTACTTCCAAGTATCCATCCAAGCGCCTGTCGCAAGAACTAGGGTCGATGCCAAAAGAAACAAAAGTTCACTCGGCCTGTTCAGATATTGACGGTCGACGTCTTGCTGTCTCTGGAACGACGGCGACTCGGGACAACGCATCTCCAGTCGCAGAGAGGGCATCCAGAAAATCGCCCAAAAGTCTGTCCAGTTCGGCAGTCACAGCGCTTTCTTCCGCCCCGGCCGTCAGAGCCTCAAGTCGTGGCGGTACGAGATCGGGAAAGTAGACCGGCTCCATATCATCCCTCGTAGCCGGGCGCGGATCACGCCGGGCTGTGGGCAGAGGCTCAATCATAGGCGACTCAGTCAGCGTTGGAAAAGGTTGGTGGGGCTCCATCTCTTTAGATGGAATGGCTGTAGGGAATGGTTCTGTATGTGAGGGCTGAACACCGATTTCTGTGCTGCTCTCCCAGATCACCGACTGCGAGTCTTCCTCATCTGGCCCGGGCCCGTCTAACACTGACGTCCGTTCAAATTCGCCGTAGCCCACCGATTCTAGCGTTTCCGGTAACTCCTTGTTGAAAAAATGCCCATGTGCTTCAGCAAGCTCACCGGGGGGCGTAGGAGGACGGTCGAACTTGAAGGGATTATAGTCTGTATCTGAGTGAGCTGAGATATCTGAGCCAGTCGATGCCGAGGTGGAGGGTCGCGAGTCCCCAGGCTCTCCAATGGTAGACTGTCGAACGGTAGCTGATGGCTGAAACTCAGGAAGCGGCGCTCGAAGGGTATCGTGACGGTCGGGATCTTCGCTATCCAGTGGCTTAGCAGCAGTCATGTCCGGGAAGGTCCAGTCCATAGTTGCTCGTTTGTCTTTCTGTTGGGCCTCGTCCGGGAAGGTCCAGTCCATAGTCGCCCGTTTATCCTCCCGTTGCGACTCTGGCGCCTTCGGTGACTGTGCCGTCTCCAGTTCGGCCTGCTCTGCTTCCGAAGGTTGCATAAATACCGGAAATTTCCAGTCCATCGTCGGAGGGCGTGGGCCAGTCTGGGGCTGATAAGTTAATTGCTCGGATTCGTCATGATCATCCGCATCATGACTCGATGATCGTGACCTGCCTTCAAGGGAATTGTGTTGCTGTCGACAGGTGGATCTATTGGCCCTGATCGTATCCGCGTCTGCAAGTTGGAACGGCTGTGCCGATGCAGCTCCAGCCGCATAATGCGACGAGTCGAATGAGCCGATGTCAATGTCAATGAATGTAGACGTCACGGAAGACCGGTCTGTCTCCGTGCGAAGAGGCAGATCAGACGCTGGAGGCTTGGGCTCGATGGGCACAAAATCGTTCTTCGTTTCGTACTTGTAACTCGGCATGTCTTCGTTGAATAGCCCCTCCATCGCCGCAGCGCCTCGGCGGACACGCTCGTCGAAGTTGGCCTTGTCTTCCATGGACATTTCGGATCCCGCAGGCTCATCGAAGGGATCGCGATCCTGCTGATTTGTTGTCGTTGGACTCATCTCCTCTTCTAGCTCAGCCAACGAGGCCGCTATCCGATCCAGATCAATGACGGAAAATCTCCGTTCAAAGCCATCTGTTGTACTGAAGTTCCAGTCTTCTTCAAAGTCCGGCTCATAGTCGGGGAATTCCGCAGCGGCAGCACCTCCCGGATGGAATAACGAAATTCGCTGCCCTCCCCGCTGAGACCATTGATAGTAGATGCGCACCAACTCGCTGAGTGAAGAGGTCGGGTACTGCTCGTCTGTCCCAGCAATATACGAATGTGACATGATGTCTGCCATTGTCGGGCGCGATATGGGATCCGACTCGAGAGCGAATGATACCAGGTCTTTAAGGCCGTCACTGTATTCTTCTTTTGCAAGACGCGGTGTGGCACGGTTGAGTTGCCTTCCAATTTGCATCCGCTCCCGTAGATTGGAGTTTGGAGGATTTCCCGTTGCGAATTCGAAGAGAGTGCAGCCATATGCCCACACATCGACCTTGTCTTGTCAGTATTCTCAAGGGACTGAGCAGAAATGACAGCCTCACCTCACTTCCATATTTGTGGGCTTCGCCTCGAGTTGAGAACATTTCCGGTGGCATCCAGTGAGGCGTCCCAATCCAGGTTGATCGCTTGTCCACGTGCGACTGGAGTACTCCCGCGACGCCGAAATCGCAGATCTGAAGCCGGCCTTCCTCGTGGATCAAAATGTTCGCAGCTACCAATAGCGTCAGAAGTGAGTTAGAATCAGGCAGCCGAAGCTACATACCCTTAATGTCCCGATGGATGATCCCAGCCTCGTGAATCGCACGCAAGCCAGCAGCCAACTCGCGCGCGATGGGGATGATGAACCTTTCATCAAGCTTATCACCAGTTGCTCTCATCTAGACATTGCGAAGTCAGAAAATGACAGCCGGAGGAAAGCAGTAAGGAAGCAAGGCCTACCAAAGTCCTAACACTACCACCAGGGCAGTACTCGCAGACCAGCCACAACTGGCTATGGATCGAGATGGCCTCAATCAACTCATTGATGTTTTTAGCACCAGCATCTTTGACCTGTTTCATAACTTTCGTCTCATGTATGAAATCCTTTATCGATTCGTCCTTGAGGTCTCTCACAGACTTGTAGTCCATCGAATCAATATCCATCACCTTGATCGCGACGACTTTGCGCGAAGGTAGCTGATGGCCCTTGTAGACACGGCCGTAGGAACCCTTCCCAATCAACTCTTCAAACTCATACGGCGGCGGCTCTGTTTTTGCTCTGCGACACATCTCGCGCACGGCGGCGCCCTGTTCACGTGCCAACTTGATGGCTTCTGCTTTGTGCTTGCTGATGGCAGCCGCCATCGCGGAAGTTGGGTCTAGAAACGCTGAGGCGCGAGAGTCGTCCATATTGAAGTACACAATAAGGCTCACAGTGGCAATAGCAATAGAAAGGTTTTATTTGACCAGACAGAGCTGACTCAAAACGTCCTCGAGGCGTCGGCTGGTAAGCTAGCCTGTGAGATTCTCAATGCCTCTGGCGAAGGCATAAACAGCGAATATTGATGCTCAAACACAGTCAGGTCTGAGATCTCCCATTCCAGACGGGACACGGGAGACAGTAGCTGTAATCAAGTGCAAAGTGTTGTGTTGTTCACCTCGCCGGCGCCTGTTTCGCCATGAGGGAAGGTCGTTCAAGGACACCCCAGCCTCAAATCAACATGTCCGCAGACTCCGATGTAGCGACAAATAGTATCTAGTAATATTTACCCAAGTTGATCCCCGCTCTTTATTTCACAAACCTTCGTAAACGTGTTGAAAGGAGCTATACTGAGTACAAGATGTTTGATGGTGATCTTTCTTTCTCCTTTGAGAGTGAGAATGTGGCAGTGAGTGTGAAACCACGCTAAAAAGCGGACACTAATTTAGCCCCAACCCGAAGACCCCAATTTGTGCTTGTAAGGGCGGCTACCTTCTTAGCTTTGAACAACACTCATTGTACTGACCATATACTATTGTGACCATCCAGCCAGAAATCTATGCATTGATGAGTATTCAATTATGCTGTTTTAGTTTAAGCCGCGAATCCACTGATTCCATAATTCTAAAGGGGACCTAGCATCAGGATTGACTACTGTTCGGTCTACGCTAGCCTATTCGGCTGAACTCGAGAGCATCCGAATTCTGAATGTATGGAGTCTTCCCCAGTTCACTGCGCAAACTCATGGTAAATAATCATGCGTCACATTCTATTCCCGTAGATTACCTAGGATCATCACGGTCAATCATGGTCAATCTATCTACAAAGAGAACTCGGTTCTAAGGGCAGTTGCGAACCGAGCAATAGCCTCTGCAATGTTTTCGGAGCTGGCAGCCGCAAAGGTAGCGCGGAAGAACAGGTTGCCCTCGTTGCGACCAGCTGCGGTGAACCAGCTGCCTCGCGAGACGAGCACGCCGTTATTCACGGCAGCATGGAAGACAGCCTCCTCGATAGCCTCGCGGGACTTACCCGAAGCCACGGCAGGATGCTTCTGCCAATCGATCTCAATCCAATGCTAAGAGGGTATCAGTGTCAGCCAATTTGCCTTTGGACCATGATCGTCAAATCGCAGGTGGAGGAATACTCACAAACATTCCTGCGGCGGGAGGGTTCCACTTAGCAATATCCCTAGGAAGATATTTCTCGCAAGCGTTGACAATGGCGTCTCTGCGACCGGTATACTGCATACGCAGGTTGATCAACCAGTCCAAGTAGCCGGAGTGGCCCCAATGTTCGTCCAGAAGCTTGAACAGAACAATCTGTGAGATGCCGCTTGGATGTTGGGCACCTGTCTCGCAATTGCGCATGAATCGCTCGACAAGCTGCTCTGGGCCAACAATCCAACCGGTCCGCGAGCCGGGTGAAAGAACCTTGGAGAAGGATTCAAGTCGGAGCACACGCCCATCGACATCTAGGCTCAGGTACGAAGGAATGAGAGACTTGATGAATTCACCGTGGCTGGCAGGAGGAGGAACAGGCTCGCGGTCGGGTCCGGTGTATGGCTGCATCTGCAAGAAGTAGTAAGGCTCATCTTCCACGATAATCAAGTCGTGCTTCTGTGCCACTTTGTATACAGCCTTGCGTCTCTCCAGCTGCTGCGTGGCACCGGTAGGGTTCTGTCCAGTTGGAATCGTGTACAGCACAAATGGCTTGCGGCTGCCCCGAGAAGCTTCATCCCAGTTGCTCAAGACCTCGTCGAGCGACTCGGGCAGAAGACCTTCCGCATCCATCTTGACCGATGCCACCTTGACTCCCAATGGAAGAGCGGTCTCCTTGGCGCTAGAGAATGTATACTCCTCCATAAGGATGTAGTCGCCTCTGGTGCAGAGCATTCGGAGGACTGTATCCCACCCATATGTGCTACCAGCGTTCAAACAACATTGC